CAGGAGGCCGTGGCACACCCACGGCCCCAGGCACCCCAGGCACACCAGCTGCCGACGGCTGGGCAGCATCACCGACTGGACCATCTGCCGCACGTTTGGCAGTCTTCGTCTCGATCTGGATCAGGTTCTTGAGCTCCACGATCGTCTTCTTCATGTGCTTCACCTGCGTCTGCAAGTCGTCCAGCACGTCGTGCGCCTTCTGCAGACGCTTCTCGACTCTCTCCAGGGCCTCCTCCTGTTTGCCCATATGTGAGGCCCCTCGCACTGCACAGCATAGTCAATGTCGTCGCGAACTCTAGGACGGCGTCGTCGTAGTTCTCGTTCGCGTCGAGCCTGAGGATAATCGTATTCAAGGCCTCGAGCCTTGCTGAGACTTGCTCCTTGTAAGCATCGGCTTCGGCGTCGGACGCCTGAGGACCAGGCGGCGCCTTCCAGCGAGGATGTTGACGAGCAATCTTCGGCGGAGCGAGACGGATATGCAGCAAGTCCTTCGCCGACTTGTATTCGTCGCCGCCCTTGAGGTCCTGCTCCAACTGCGAGGAGCTCGATGCCACCTCCTGGGGCTTGGCAGGGCTCAGGGTGCCACGAGACGGCGAGGCCTCGCGGTGAGCAAGAGCAGCTGTGCCCTTGTCCTTGCCCCTGCCCTTGCCACGGGCAGCAGCACCATCGCGAGGAGGCGGTGCACTGCCAATTCTGCGGGGATGGGAACGTCTCCACGGAGGTGGCTCGGGCTTCACATTACCACACTGGCGGCAATCCACGCGCTCGTGCCAGTCCTAGCAGTAGCAGACACCACAGGACCATGGGGATCCTGGCGGCTTGGTCATCGCACCTGGCAGAACGAGACCACGAGGTTGTCGACTGTGATGCCATTGCAGCAACTTCTTAGCCGCCGCAAGGCGCAGTAGCACACGGGCGTCGGCGCGACTCTTCTATGGCCCTCCGGTGCCACGCGGGCTCTCCACCCCTCCCTGCGTGGCGATGGGGTCAGCGCGGCCGAGAGGCAGCGCTATGGCGGGCTGCGGTCAGACGGCGCGTCCAGCAGCTGTCCCGAAAGTGAGGGGCCGCTACCTGGTAGCACCCAGGCCCCTCTAGCCGGGACGGCGGCTGGAGGAGGAGGAGGAGGAGGAGGAGGAGGAGGAGGAGGAGGGAGGAGGCAAGAGGAGCAACACGAGGAAAACGAGGACGAATTTGAGGAGGACGAGGATTAAGAGAGTGAGGAGGAGGACAAAAGGGAGGGGAAGGAGGAGGACGAGAAGGAGGAGGAGGAGGAGGAAGAAGAGGACGAGGGGGGGATCAAAACGAGAAGGGGGGAGGAGGAGGAGGAGGAGGAGGAGGAGGAGGAGGAGGAGGAGGAGGAGGAGGAGGAGGAGGAGGAAGAGGAAGAGGAAGAGGGGGAGGATGAAAACGAGGAGGAGGAGGAGGAGGAGGAGGAGGAGGAGGAGGAGGAGGGGGAGGGGGAGGGGGATGACGAGGACGAGGACGAGGAGGAGGATGAGGAGGAGGAGGAACATGACGAGGATGAGGACGAAGGATATGGCCGTGAACGAGAGGACGAGGAAGAGGAGGGGGAACATGACTAGGACGAGGACGAAGGATATGGACGAGAACGAGAGGACGAAGAGGAAGAGGAGGATGAGGAGGAGGAGGAGGATAAACAGGAGGAAGAGGAGGAAGAGGATAAGGACGAGGAGGTCGACGAGAATGATGACGATGATGATGACGAAGACGAGGACGAGGAAGACGAGGAGGAGGACGAGGATGAGACGGCATCTTGCGTGCCTCGGGTGAGCTTCTTGGGCCTCTTGGGGGACCGCTCAGAGGGGGTTCTTGGGTGCCTTTCGGGTGCCTCTTGGAGGCTTCTGGGTGCCTCTTGGGGCGCTCTTGGGGCTCGCTTGGGGGGCCTCTTGGGAGCCCATGGAGGGCTTCTTGGGGCCGTCTTCGAGGCGGTCGGTTACAAGAGGGGGGGTCCTCGATTGTCTGCCCCCCCCCCCCCCCCCCCTCGGGGGCCAAGATCCTCGTGATGGGGTGTCAAACATTGGCCCTCCCACTAGCAGAAAAAGGACCCTCTGGCGCATCGGTCCCCCTCAAAAAAAACAGGAAGGACAGGGGGAGGCTTCCCCTCCCCGAAGAGAAGAGGGGCTGTGGAAGAAACAAGAGATCGCCCTTAGACCACCTGTCGCCCAAAGGGCTGGTGGGATGTTGGTCCGATGGACCACTGAGCGACCTCCCAGGAGCCCGCGCCAGTGCCCACAGTTTCGCCGCTCGCAGGCCCCAGGAACGGCGAGGCCCCAGGAACGGCAATCTCGCGAGGTACGGTTTCTCAGTTGATACCCGTATCCACAGCAAGGCATTCCACGAACCTCTCCAACTTGGTCATCCTCGAATGCTTCACTGGTCAATTTTTAGTTTGATTCCAATATTCAATCGTTTACCTAGCGCGGTGGTGCGAGCTAGGTCAGTGAAGGGGGTTCAGCGCTCATTGCAGCGTTTGGCCAAAGACGCTGCCGTGTCTGGAAAGCGTGTGTGGCACCAGCTTTTCCGCCCAAGCTGACGCAGCCGAGGGAATTCATTCATAACGCTATTCGTGTGTTTCATGAGGGCTTGTCGTAAAAAAACCTGGTGCGCGTGCGACGTCGCTCCGTTGGACCTCCCAGGAGCGCAAGAAAGTGCCGACGGTTTCGCAGCGCGCAGATCCCACTGACGGCGAGGTCTCACCCCAGCGTGAGAAAAAAACGTCATTCCGATGGACCCCCAGCAGCCCTCGAAATTGGCGACAGTTTCGCAGTTCGCAGCCCCCCGTAACGGAGAGGTCTCATTATGATGTGCGTAGGACGTCAGCATGTTGGACACCGTTGCAGTCTTCGAAACTTGCGACAGTTTCGCAGCTCGAACTCCTATTGACGGCGAGGTCGCGTTCTGGTGTGCGTAGGACGCCACTATGTTGGAGCCCCCGTTGGCCTTCGACAGCGGCGAAAGTCTCGCGGATCGCAGCCCCTGGTGACGGAGAGGTCCCTTGCGGATGTGCGTAGGACGTCGTTGTGTTGGACTTCCCAGGTGCCCACGAAAGCGGCGAACGTTTAGTAGCTTGCAGCCCCCAGGGACGGCGAGGTTTATTGAATCGCTTCGCTCATTCCGCCGGCCCGTGATATGGCATCGCTGGTTTTTGTCTGTGTGTTCGTTGCCCATGTTGCGCTCTTGGGGGTGGGTGTCGTTCGGACGCGATGCGTGGGGAGTTTTGATGGTGAAGCAGTTCCCTGGGGGTCGTCTCTCGATGGGGCGAAATAGAGTCGTCGTCAAGATGCTTCTTTGGGGGGCCTCTTGGGGTCTGTTGAGAGGCCGTTCGGGGGCGCCTGGGAGACATGTTTGAAGCCTTCTGGGGCTTCTTTTGGGCCTCCTGGGAGTCTCCTGGGGCCTCTTGGCGACATCTTGGGGCCTCTTGGAGGCCTCTTGGGGCCTCTTTGGGACCTCCTGGGCGCCTTCTGGGACGGAGGGCTCCATTTTTGAGTTCTCGGTATCCCTCCTGAGTCCCTCTTGGGCCCGTCTTGGGGCCTCTTGGTCCGTCTTGGGCGGCACTTGGGCCGTCTTGAGGGCTCTCTTGGGTCGTTTCGGCGCCGTCTTGGGAGCTTCGTGGGCCGTCTTGGAGCGGTCTTGGGGGCCTCTTGGGCCGTCTTGGAGCGTCCGGAAGCCGAAAAAGCCAGAACACAAAAAACATCGAAAAAACCAATGAAAATCAACGATTTTGGCCTCTTGGGGCTCTCTTCGGAGGCCTCTTGGAAGGCTCTTGGGGCGTCTTGGAGGCCTCTTGGGCTGTCTTGGGGGCCTTTTGGGCCGTCTTGGGGTCATCTTCGGCGTCTTCGAGCGCTCTTTGGGCGTCTCGGGGGCCTCTTGGGCAGTCTTGGGGGCCTCTTGGGGCACTCTGAGCGCGCTCTGGGGAGCCTGAGAGGCCGCACCCAGAAGGAAAACCATCTCTGAGTAGACTTGGTCGGGCGGCGGTCGGGCGGCGGTCGGGCGGCGGTCGGGCGTTGGTCGGGGTACTTTTCGCCGGGTGACCCCCAGGGGCCGCCCCGCGCGCACGAACTAGAAATACTGTTAATACTGTTAACCAGTTACCGGAGATCTTAGCACGCCCTGGCCCGTTGGGCCGGCGAATTTCTGATGTGCGCAGGACGTCGCTACGCTGGCCCCCCCCCAAGCAGACTTTGAAAATGGCGACGGTTTCGCAGTTCGCAGCCCCCAGTGGCGGCGAGGTCGCATTCTGATGTGCGCAGAACGTAACCATGTTGGGCCCCAAGCGGCCTTCGACGGTTTCGCAGTTCGCAGGTCCCTCCCGGGGACGGCGAGATTTGTTGTGATGCGCGTGGGATGTCACAATGTGGGAGCCCCCCACCAGTCCTGGAAATTGGCGACAGTTTCGCAGCTTGCAGCCCCCAGTGAAGGAGAGGATTCATTCTGATGAGCGAGGGACGGAGAGGTCTCATTCTGGTGCGCGTAGGACGTCACTATGTTGGATTTCAAAGAGACCTCGACATTGGTGACAGTTTCGCAGCTCGCAGCCCCTAGGGACGACGGGGTCTCATTCTGGTTTGCGTGAGACTTCAATGTGCTGGAGCCCCCAGCAGCCCTCGAAAGCGACGACAGTTCGCGAGAACGCAACACAGGAGGGTTGATAATATGGCAGGGCGTAGGAGGCAGGAGGGAGAAGGAGGGGGAATGAGGACAGTTGTGGAGACCATTGTGCTCTAGTCAAAACGAGAACCCAACGCAAGAAGGCAGGGGACAAAAAGACGTACATAGAGGGAGGAATAAGTGGGCGGCGTAGAGGAGGAGGAGGAGGAGGAGGAGGAGGAGGAGGAGGAGGAGGAGGAGGAGAAGCAGCACGAGGATGAGGAGGAGGAGGAGGAAAAGGAGAACGACGAGGAGGATAATAAAGATGACGATGAGGATAATGACGACGACGACAAGGACGACGACGACGACGACGACGACGACGACAGTGACGAAGAGTACGAGCAGGGCGAGGCAAGAACCCCACCCCCTCCCTGCCCGCGCGTGCGCGCGCAGGCAGCGGAGCCAGGGACCGCGGCGACCCTGACCGCCCCCGCGAGCGGGACCGGCGGCAGGACTTGCGCGGTCGCCTCGGTTCGGCGTGGGCCCGGTGTGCCCACATCTTCTCGTCCGTATCGGCACTCTGTGACCGCCCGCTCCTCGCCCAGCACCCGCTCTGCCGATCGGCGGCAGTGCATCAGCCTCGGAGGAGGGAGGGCCCACTGGGCCGAGGAAGGGGGCGACGCAGCCGAGAGAGGTCGGCTACCCCCCGAGAGAGGTCGGCTACCCCCTCGTGGTGTTGGCCAGGTCCTTTCAAAAGCAGTTCAGAACTCATTTGGAAAAAAATATCTCGATCCGCACCTTCGCGTGGAAGACGCCGGCGATGGCCCCGCGCAGGCCGCGCATTCACTCCTGGCTGCGGGCGCGCGTGGAGCTTTCAACCGTCTCCGCGCAATTCGCTCGCCGATTACGTCTTTGCCCCCTCCGGGGTTGAGCACACTGCCATTGTGGCCGTGAGCCCTACCGCGGCGACAGGCGGCCTTTTCCGAGGCTGTGGCATCATCGTTGCCGCCTCGGTGGACGCCGTCGTGACCCCGCGCCCGCCCGAGCCCGGGGCCCGCACCGACGTGCACGCGCGCCAGCGCTGCCTTCTCCTAGACGCGCTGGGAAGTTTCCATCGGCAAGCGCCATCTCGGCCGCACCGGCGGTGCCAAGCCAGCGGGGCCGCTCTGCGCGCGAGCTGGCGCGTGCCAGCGCGGCCGCAGGGACTCGCGAGCTAGTGCCAAGGACATCCGCAAGTGTGGCCTCATGCGCAGTTCAACATGTTGCGGGTGTAAGGGTGGGATGTTTTCGCGAGCGGTGGATTTGACGATTCACGGCCCATAGCCTGCACATGGCTTTGACTTGAATCGAGTGCATCCTATACAATGCAGAATGCAACACATTTGGTGCGCTCGACAATTGCATCGTGTAGCTTGCAATACAATACTTGGATCTCGTCAGCGTTCACCACACAGTTTGCAAGGCGTACCTAAGTGTCCCGTACAACGCAGGCTGTACCCCCATAGATTGTGACACACCAGTTGTATCGCGAAACATGCAACACGTGGATTGCTTCCCGTAGGCTGCGCATAATAGTTTGAAACGCACGTGTTGAATTACAAACAAGAGTGGGCACTCAAAGGACAATAACACATTGTTTTGGGCTCGCGCTGTCAGCCATCTGGTCCGGGATATCCAAATGATTAGTAAGGGTGGCGATGCAGTGGAGATGTGCGAAGTATATATCGACGGTTGTGGACACAGCTTCACCCACACCGTTGGCGCAATATTGCGGCGACGATGTCAAGTTGACATATTGTATTATGTCATTGTGCATGTTCGAGCCAGCACTCCCCGACGACGACGACGACGACGTCGACGACCCTGCCGCTCGCTCGGGGCGGCCGTCTTGGCTGCTGCCGCGTTCGTTTTCCCTCGAGGAGTATCCCGACGATTTCTACGTTTGGCTTCGAGGGCGGGCCTACGCTTCCTCGTTCGGGTTCCTTGTTTTGCTGGGACGTGTTCTAGGAGTCGTTCGGGCCGTTCGTTCGTGTGTTCTGCTTCTCGAATTTTCTGTGCGTCCCTGGGGCCGTTCGTCCTGGCGTTAGTCGTTGGGGCCCTTCCTTGTGTGGGAGTCGCTCGAGATTTTCGGGGCGTTGCAGGTTCGGGCGCCGCGCCCTGGTGTGAGTTGTTCGGCCTTCTCATTGTTTGTGAGTGGTTGGCGCGTGTTGTGGTCTGCGACACATTTGGGCTCTTCCTCGTGTGAGTCGTTCGGGCTCTTCGTCCTGCTGTGAGTCGTTCGGGCCTTTCCTTGCGTGTGAGTCGTTCAGGCTCCTCGCGGTGTCCGTCGTCCAGGCCCGTCGTCCTGGTGAGAGTCGTTCGGGTTCGTCCGTGTGTGTGAGTCGATCGGGCCTCTCGTGGCGTGAGCAGTTCGGGCTACTGGGGCTAGTGGGAGTCGTTCGGGGCTTTCCGTGTGTGTGAGACGTTCGGGATCGTCCTGCAATGAGTCGTGACCTCTGGTAGAATTGGAATCGGTCGTTCCGCCCTGCGTCTTCCTCCTCCTTTTCCTTCTCGGAGTTCTTGTGGTGCGGTCGCGCAGGCTTTCACGTGAGTGGTTCGGTCCAAGACGCCGAAGGCCGAGGAGCGCCCAGGAGTGCCCCAGCGTTGTCGTCGCTGTTGCCACTTTGGCTCACAGCATTGCGGTTCGGCTGTGAGCTTAGCTCCGCCCATCAGCAAACGCCTCCTTCTCCAGGTTTCCTTGCTGTCGGCATGGGGAGGTGCGGGTACGCCCTGATACTTTGGCTAGCATAAGAGGCTCCCTGGAGCGAGCAGGGCGAGGAGTCGGTGATCATGCCTCCTTCTTGTGGCAAGGACCGATCGTCGCCGTACTGCCGTCGCCCAGCATACATGGCGGAGTGCTTGCCGCCAGAGCTAGTTCTGCACATGCACCTGAACGCCGCCAGAGCAATAGTGTTCACGAAGCAGGCTCTCGCGATCAAATTCGCTCACATTACGAAGAAGCCGATGCAGGATGGCAGCGGTGACTTCAATTGCATGAGGACACTCGTCGCTCAGTTAGGCACGAGGTTGTATTTCCATGTGTGCAGCATGAACCCGTTCACCGATAAGGACGCCCGTTGGCGCGTATACTTCGTCGGCGACGTTGCAACTGTGAAGCACCGCATGTCGGGGATAATAAGTACGCTGGAGTGCCGAACATGGGCATCCAGGGCAATGCGCGTAGCGCAGGTTGTTGAGACCCTGGCATTGCTCACCCTCACGTGAGCCCAGCTTGTTGGAAGCACCTTATCGGAGCGGAGCGCTCCATGTCGGAACGGCTGCGCCGAGAAAAGAGTACGCTATTCGCATCAGGCGCAGTGGACCACGAGCAGTCCTTCCTCTTCGGCGGCATCGTACTTATCTGCAAGAGCTTGATGTGAAGGGTTTGGTGTATTTCGCTGTGAAGATGGCGGGTCTCTCGTGCAACAATTCGGCAGGTTTGTTTGGTACTCCGCGTGGGTGCATTGGGTGAAGTGGTCAAGCCGATGTCGAGGCGCTAGGTCTCACTGGAATGGCTGTTAGGGTCACCCAGGCCGACCAGGTAATCATCTCGTTCGTAAGACTGCAAGATCTGTACGAAGCAGATTGGCAGTTTTTCCTCGGCGGGGGCGCTTAGAATTCCAGGTTGTCCGCTACGGAAGTTGCCGAAGGAAGAGCGTTGGTGGTGCGTAGCAGTGATGTTGCTGGAGGACTCCGACGGCGACGGCATTGAAACGTCGAAGGCGGCGACACGACCACGACCACGACGACGACGACGACGATGACCGCTCGACGACGACGACCACGACCACGACCACGACGACGACGCCGTCGCCGAAGACCACGACGACGACGAAGACGATTCGTCGAGGACGTCGTCGAGACAACGACGACGACGACTACAACGAGAACGTGAATGGCGACGCCGACGACGCCGACGCCATCTCGACGACAGGGGGAGCACTCCTGTAGCGCTTTCACTTTGGAGAGCGAGCGGAACGCTCGCGGCCATCCTTCTTGTGCCTCGGTGTGGCAGCGTTGCTGAGGTAGGCGATATCGGCCATGGCCCGTGCGGGCTCGCCGCTGTCTCTCAGGATGATGTTTCACTCCTGGCGCCGTTGGCCTCGCCCTCGTGGCAGCATCGTTGTTGCGGTGACCGTCCGATGACATGCAGGCACGGTTGTCACCGCGGAATGTTCCAGTGACGCGCCACTGACGAGCTTTTCTGTGCATTTTCTCGCCCTTTGCGACATTAAGGGGCCCTTCTCTGCCCAATGCATGCACGCACATACATGGAAGACGCACACGCAGAACAGGCACACTCATCCACACTAGTAACATAACATAAACATCTGACAGAGTTGGAACCGTTCGTCTCGCTGCCGAGGGCGGTCGATGGAGCGCTCGCCAGGCCGGGAAGTTGAACTTTCGATGTTTCGTATATTGCGTTCGTGCGCAGTAGGCGCGTCGTGCGTTCCGCACCGCGCTGGCTGAACTGCACCCGCCTTGTCGTCTCAGAGTAAGCTAGGGAGAAAAAAAAGGAAAAAAATAACAGTACAAAATATAATACCAAAGAATAGGAGCAAGGCTTCCCCGAAGGTTCCAGGTTCACACAGCCTTGGGAGGGCCTCCAGAGATAATGCCAGCGTTCAGTTTTTTGTGCGTTGCAGATATGTGATTCGTTGTGGTCTCCCATGATGTAAGGTGTTGGAGCCCCTCGCCCCTCCTCGTGTGAGTTTTTTCGGCCCCTTATTGCGTGTGAGTCGTTGACCACTCATGGTGTGAGTCGTTTGAGCATTTCGTCTTCGTGTGCCTCGTTCGGGCCCCTCCTTGGGTGTGAGTCGCTTGGGCTCCTCGCGGTGTGAATCGTTCGGGCTCCCCGTCCTGGTGTGAGTCGTTCGGGGGCTTCCTTGCGTGTGAGACGGTCGGGTTCGTCGTGGCGTGCGTCCTTCGGGCCACTCGTCCTGGCGTGAGTCGCTCGGGCCCCTCCTTGTGTGTGAGTCGTTCGGGCTCGTCGTGGCGTGTGTCGTCGGAGCCCTTCGTCCTGCTGTGAGTCGCACGGGCCTTTCCTTATCTGTTCGTCGTTCGGGCGTTTCGTGGTGTGAGAAACATCTGGGGTCTTCCTGGTGTGCGTCGTTCGGGGGCCTTCGTTCTGGTGTGAGTCGTGCGGGGTTTCCCTTGTGTGTGAATTGATCGGTCTGCTTGGGTGTCAGTAGTTCGGGTTCGTCGTCCTGGTGAGGGTCGTTCCGGAGCCTTCTTGTTTGTGAGTCGTTCGGCCCTCTCGTGGTGTGAGTAGTTCGTGCTTCGTGGCCTAGTGGGACTCGTGCGGGCCTCTCCGTGTGTGTGAGTCGTTCGGGATCCTCATGGAGCGAGTCGTTCGGGTCCTTCGTCGTGGTGTGAGTCGTTCGGGCCTCTCCTTGTGTGTGGGTCGTTGGGGCCCCTCGAGGGTTCAGTCGTTCGGGCCCCTCGCCACAGTCTCGCAACCCTGCCAGTGAGCCCCATGCGTCTCCATGTTCTCAATTGGGTGCAAGAATGCGCAGAGCGCAGCACGTCGTCACAAACAATTCCTGACATTACTTGTAACCCTGTTCATAGGTGGCTCCTGGTAAACTTTTATTCGATCGTTCCGCCCCTCCTTCTCGTTATCGGAGTTCTGGTGGTGCGCGCGCGCAGGTCCTCACGTTAGTGGTATGATGAGAACGTCCGCGGGAGCGGAACGCTTTCGGGCTTCGGCGCATTCATTTCATGACGCTGGGAGATGGCGTTTGAGGTTCGTTAGTTCGCGCGTCGACGGTCCACGGCCCAGGAGGGCCCAGGAGGCGTGCGCATCGCGCACGAGGCCTCCAAACATGCCCCGAGAAAGTCCAGAAGGAATGCTGATCACTATGGCGCTGGCTTGGGTTCTGCAGGTTTTGGGGAAGCCGCTGGTAGAATTGCCGAGAGTATGTCGGATTTGCGCGAGGCCCCAGGAGGCTCCGAAGAATTGTCTTGGGATCATGAAGGGCCTCATGAGTGGCCGAAATCCATAGGTGCTCTACCGTTGTAGTCGCTGTTGCCATTCTGGCTCACAGCGCTGCGGTGTGGTTGTGAGCTTAGCTCCGCCTATCAGCAACCTCTTCTGCCCTTCAGCTTTCTTGCGGTCGGCATGGGGAGGTGCCCGTGCGCCCTTGTAACCTCGTTAGCAACGGGAGCTCCCTGGAGCGAGCAGGACGAGGGCAAGGA